ATGAGATCATAAGAAACAATGTATATATATATTATGATAGAACATGGTGTCGCTAATAATATTCGATTGAGCGAAAGTCTAGGAAAACCCATGCAGATTCCGATTTAGCGTCTCGCTTAAAAAACAGTTGCAAAAACTGACCATTACTGACTTGCGGAATAAAAAAAAGGTTTATTTTAATAATTATTAGCACAGTTCTTCGAAGTAACACCAGTCGACCTTATTAAGTCTACAGCAATGCAGGTACGATTCCTGAACGCAATTGAAGATGCTTAGAAGTTGTACTTTTGATGTTTGCTGAAGACTATCTTATGCTATGACTATTCACGACTGGCCCCCACTTTTCAGCCCCCCTTAGATTGAAAAGCTTGCTTGATTTTTCGCAATTTTTATTCTCCCAACGAGTTTGCGATTTCATGTTCTATGGCAAATTTTCCATAGAACACGAGATAAAAGAAATCGTGATATCTTTTACTCCTTCTTTGAATGTTTCGGCTGACTATCGGAGCAACCCGAATTTGTATTATAAAGGTACATATTTTGAAAATTATTATAAAAATTCACAAATAGAGATTTTTTTTTCTTTATACAAACAGTAAATTTTCTATTAAATTCTTGGTTCCCTCTGATAAAATCAATAATGAAATAATTTTGCTATCACTTTCTTTCTCCTGAAAATAAAATATGAAATTTTTAAAGTACAGTCGGAGCGAGAGTAAGTAATTAGAAGTAAAAGTACTTAATTTACATCACATTACAATTTTATTACTCTGCAGAGGGGGTGGCACGACTGCTCTGGTAGCATGACGACGCGCGCGCAAGGATGGGCTTTTCACGATAGAACAGATTAATGAGAACTGACACCGCACGCTCTTTGTATCTTTGCAAACTGATCAAAGTGGTCATCCACCTTCTTACTGACCACAGCCAATGATGCTTGACTTCCATGATCTACCATATCAATGGACAAAGTGTCACCAGTGAAGCAAGGCACTATGGGCACAATATTTAGCACTGTTAGCGCATGCGTGAATTGCATAAGCGTGAGATCGCATATGCGAATCGCATGCGATTAAAATATTCTTGCTCTCAATGACATGACAATGAGTTTTTTTTCGAAATTTATAATTATTTGATATATGAATTCCAATGGTATTTTTGAATTTTTTTTCAAAAATATGATAAATGCGCTTCGTTTTTTAAGACCCGATACGTTGATTGATGAATTTCGTCTTTATAATTTGCAAACCTGTATAATTTAGTTTGCTTCGTAATGATAATCATCCTATCGACGATATTGTTTCAAAACGTTTCAGCATTTAAAAAAAAAAAGCCGCATTTTTTAACACTTAAAAAATAATAAGCCTTTAACTAAAAGGAGGTAAAACACCGAAGTCAAGCCTCATTGGCTGCCGTCAGAAAGCGGGTGGGTGACCACTTTGATCAGCCAGCGTTGGGCTCGAGGGTGTGCGGTATCGGTCCTCGTTTAACCGTCGCACCGTAAAGTTCGTGCGCACGATGGGTTACCAAAGCACGGGAACTATCCCCTATACAATGGATCCTCATGGATGTTACCCAGACCGTCGCCATTTGCCCATTGTGCAACTCTAGTGTTACGTAAATAAAATACCTACCACAAATATTGTGTTGAGAATGATCCGAAGACATGCCATCACAATTTTGATCCTCTGCAGAGGGGATGGCAGCCCGCGTCGGTAGCCAGACGACCTGCACGCGAAGTTGAGCACTTTACGATAGAACAGTTTAACGAGGACCAATACCACCCACTCTCAGTCCCTACGCAGATTGATCCAAGTGGTCACCCACCCATACACTGACCTCAGTGATACTTGATTTCGGAGCCGCGTCTTAACGATCAGTCCACTGCGGAACCCCTACCACATATTAGAAACAGGTTTTAGAAAGTTAGGTCAAAGCTAATTCTAAATTGCAGATGAGATCATAAGAAACAATGTTCGTATACAGAACTTTTGTCAACGGATTAAACTCAACAATTTTTTAGTATTCATTTTTATGCTTATTAAAACAGCAACTGAAAAATCTGAAACAAAGCGTTATTAAATGACCAAGAGCTAGGTTCTATATTTTGTCTAAAAATTTACACATTCGTCTTTCACGTTGGTTTGTTTACCAAGCGATTACTTTCTAATTATACTTGCTGATATATATTTATAGTTTTTGACAGAGTTATATTTTATCGTATATGTTAAAATTACTCTTAAATTTCACTCTTTTGTTAAGTAAATACTCTCAGTAATAAAACACTGGTGTTTTTGTCAATGCGAAATTTTTCATTTTTAGTGTAGATATATATGCAATGGGTATTCCTGATGAAGAAGGCGTTGATGATATTGAAGATTTAGGACAAGTTAAGTTATCAAGTCCTGTAAATAAAGTGAGAAGGAAGAATGAGCCCAAAGAAGAAATTTTTGCAGACAGTATAATACCTGGTAAGTGATAATGTATTATACTATTATTATTTAAACTGTATTAAGGAATAAGTTTAAAGTTTTCGCACTTGATTTTTAAAAGTGCTTGCAAGGTGAAAATAATAAACGAGTGTAAATGTATGATAATGTCAGTTGTTATGCGACACAGTTTAATTATTTTGAAAAAACATTACGTAGGGAAAATTTGGGTAAGACCAGCTTGTGAACATTTGAAAACTTGATGTTGGAGCTAAGCTGTTTGACCTAGAAACTGTCAAGTTCAATTAAGATATTCATTGTTTAATTGTGTGCTAATTTCTGAAAAATCTTAGATATACTACTGTTTTTCGTAATTGAATTTTTTTTTTTAGAAAAAGCCAAATATCCAGGTCTTACTCTCATTAGTGCGATAAGATAGGGTACACAAGTTAACTCCATACTAAATTTAGAAATACTAGAATATCAGTAAAAAAGTAGCAGACATTTTATATGGCAATTTAAGAGGCGTGCAATAAAATTTGTCCTGGGCCTGTGAAACATTTGTTAACCCTTGGATGTAGTTATCTTTCTCGGCTGCACTACAGCTTTCCTGGGCCTAGTATTACATCAAGGAGTTGGTGGGAAAACTGGGTTTTTAACTGGTCTTTCCCTGAGAGCAGAGGTTATCAAAACATAACAGAATGTTGCTGTTATTGCATCTAAATCCTTATTGTTTGTTAAGGTATGAATTTTTAGTAAACGTATAATAAGTTAGACTAAAAATAGTTTTTGCATCTGTAATGATCAATTAATAATCTGCATATATGATATTTTACATTAAATACATTTATTTGAATCCTGATGCAAAGTTTTGTTACAATCAGAATTGTCTCTAATTACAAGCAGGGAATCAAAAGATCATAGACTGTTATCAGTGTTGATTTTCTCAATCAAAATTTTATTAGAGACATGCTTTTCTGTCTCACTAATAGGTTTTTGTAAATTTCACCCAGTATCGAAAAATGTGTATAATCGAGAGAGACCATACATTTTTGTTTATAGATTCAACCTTTAAAAGGAAAATCTGTAGTTATCAATAATAACTTAATTTTTCACCTTAATTTTTTTCATGACATTTTACTGACTTAACTTATGTGTTTTTATTTGATTTCCAATTGCAGAATTAAAGTGCTAAAATAGGTCTAATGTAAACGAGTTATCTTAGTTTAGAATAATAAATAAGATATGTATGTTAATTAAAATAATAGATATTTTGTAATTTTTTTATTTCAGTTTTCATTCTTGAAGTTATTTTATGTAAAAATTCAAAAGGGACTGATGAAACTTTCTTTCTGATTTTATAGTTGCAATCTTGTATTTTATTTAAATGCATGAACTAAATTTCTTTAGAAAGTTGTTCTTAGTGATAAATTTTAAAATGCTGTTATCTTATCTGACTCCCGAGTTGCTATTCAGTCCATATGCTCTATACTCGTCCCATCTTCTAGGGATATATTGGACTGCCAATTATCCATTAAAAAACTGGAACAATTGGGAAAAGCGACTGTTCTGCACTGGGTTCTGGCTCATTGTGGGCTTAGTGGAAATGAGCGGGCAGACGCACTAGCGAAGAGAGGCACTGAGGTGTTGCAGCTCATGAATAATAACGTTTCTTTTTGTAATATGAAGTGACTTATTAAGAACAGAGTGTTTTCTTGATTTTATAGAGATGTAAGGACACGTACTGCTTCCAAAAGTTGGGGACATTTAGATCTGCTGAGTATTCCGGAGTATCCTCGACATGATGCGGTTGCGATGTTCAGACTTTCTACCCAGCATGACTGTCTGGCTGGACATCTATTTTCTATTGGTGTCCTCCCGGACCCCTTTTGTTATTTCTGTGGGGATCACGTCATCATGGATGGTCATCACATTTCGCACTGCAAAGCGCTGCGTGGGAGTTCCTTGGTCGAGCGATATTGGGAGGCTCGAGGCCGAATGAGACAATGACTATTTTTTTTTTCTTTTTTTTTTTTCCCCTTTATGTCAAGTTCTCTGCCATTGGAAATAAAAAAAAAATTTCTTTAGAAATTAAAAGTGTATGAAGTATTTTTAAATAATTAATGAAAAAAATTATATTTTATAGGATCTCAGAAAGTTTATGTAAAGACATGGGGTTGTGCTCATAATAGCTCCGATAGTGAATACATGGCTGGTTTATTGGATCAAGCAGGATACAGTATAACAGGTGACATTTTTCTTAATAAAAATATAAGTTTTAAAAATTGTTACACGGTGCAACATGTGCAGTATCATCAGGATAATAAAATGGCATGGATTGGAAAATCTCAGATTGTAAAATTCGATAAGTTATGTAAGTTGGTGAGAAAAGCAAAAAATTAGACTGTTAAAAGAAGTACTATGTTGCACTGAAACACATCTTGGTTTTAATAACTATTCTATTTGTGACTTTAACTGTTCTACCTAATTAGTATCATATCACACATGATTAATCTTGTCATTTTAATTTAAATAAGCATGGTATTTATTACTGTTACCTTTCCATTTTAATGGATATATTAAATTATCTTTGCTATTCCAGAGATATGTTATTGTAACATCTCTTTTGAAAATCCTCACTCAATCATTTATTTCAACATAATAACTGAAATATTAGTTTATATATTTGTTATTGCTATAAAAAACCCCTCTAAAATAAGTATTGAATATTTTTTGCACTTTCAAAACATAATATTTTCAGTCTCAATAAGTCATTTGATTTTAAAAAAAAGGTTCAAAAAGTTATTTAAACCATTATTTCACTGGATGTTGCCACATACTAAATGTAAATGTCATGAATCTTTATGAATGAAGCAAAAGTTGCACAACAACGGAATTTTTCTTGAGATGGCCGAAAACTAGGATAAAAACGTTAGCTTTTGAAATAATTAATACATTGAGCAAATTTGAAATAATTAAAGAACATTGATAATCAGTAGGTATAAATTGCACTGTCACTTGAAAATCAGCAGGTAAAATTCACTAGGTTAAAAGAACCCATTAACAATCCTTATAATCGTAGTTTTCTTGTTTGAAAATTTTATTCATTCTTTTTGTGAAATGGTTTGCTTTGGGATTTAATATTTGAGTTATAAAAAATATTTTTTTGCAGTTTATGGGCGTTTATTATGAAATAGCTGGTTAGAACCAGAATAATATTTTTAATAATGTATTTTTAATTTTACAGGGTACTTTATCGTACAAATCACATAAAAAAACAAAAAAAAAAAAAAAAAAAAACAAGTTGAGCTTTAATTTTTTTTACTTTCCTAAGTTTAATAAAAGTTGTCAATGTTTTGTTGAAATTACTTTAGTATTTTTTAGTTATAATTTTTTTTGTTTTTCTTGGTATTTTTGTGTAATAACAATTTATCGGCTTCAGCTTATAACATCAGATTTCAGTTGGATGAAGGGTGTATATATCATTTCATACACATAAAGTAATATCTTCTGATGATTTCAAATTTATTTATTATTTACTATCGTTGAAAATTCAAAACAATTCGAATCATAAAAGGTGTTTATTATATGATTTTCAGATGATTCTGATCTTGGTGATATCTGGTTATTAAATAGTTGCACTGTAAAAAATCCAGCAGAAGATCACTTTCGTAATGCTATCGAGGAAGGGAGGAAAAAGAATAAGCAAGTTATTGTTGCTGGATGTGTTTCTCAAGCTGCTCCCAAAACTCCTTATTTACAAAGTCTGAGTATGATTGGTGTGCAGCAAATTGATCGTGTAGTTGAAGTTGTGGAAGAAACGCTTAAAGGTATTTTTCTTTTCTTTTATTAAATTTTTTCATAATATATATATTTTTTACATAATATTAGGTTAAAACGTATCTGATATTTTAAAATATATATTTACTATATAATGACTTATATTTCAGATAGAATTTCAACCTTTCGGTGGGTACCAGACATAGCTTGCTTAAAAACGTTCCACTGACCAGTGAATTTGTCCCTTGTAGACTTTTTATAATTAATTTACACAAATAAAATTAAACTTTCGAAAAAACATAATAATGGGGAAAAAAATCAGTTTGCACAAAACATAAAGGAACTGTAAATTTGTTTTTAAGTGTTGCTAAAAATAAAGTTTAAGATAATTAACTGAGTTTAGATGTAACTGATAAACATTTGTCATCATTTTCAGATGCAGACATTTTCTTGTGGTATCTAGTTAACAAATCAATACCTAACAGTATATTAAATAGTACAATAGATATTACTGTATACTCATGTAAAAGTTAATTACTGTACTAATACAAAAGTAAATTTGAGCATTTTAAGGTAAGAAGTACAAGTCTTATTAACGATTCTAGACTACTAGAGTTTCTTATAGTTTCTTACTAAGTAAGCAATTCTCGTTGATCAATATTGAATATTTATGGGTTATTTTCTCAATTTGTTAACTTTTGCGTCCTTAAGCAATATTTATTATAAACATTTATTTTCTTTATTTCATGGTATGTTTTGCTCGAAATACTCACAAGGAGTTGAAAAAATATGCTTCAAATACATTTTGCTCTTAAATTGTATTTAAAAATAAAATATTGGTAAAATATCATTACTTTCCCATGTATAAGAAAAGACAATAAGAAAAGATGATTTTTATAAGTAACATTGTTCTTATGTTTTATAACATTGTTAATAAACATGAGAATAATAAGTTTTAAAATTTAAGAGCAAATTTCTGACAGCTATTTAATACTATTGAGATAAAATTGTTAACTATTATTGTGTTGTTTAGATAATTATGTATACATTTTGTTTTGTGTTTTAATTGCATTATTTAGAATATTTGCACAATTGCTTTTACTTTTTGTACTTCACTGTCACGTATGCAGTGACATCAAAAGTAGTCACTTTGAAATTTAAAATTTTTGTATCTTAATATTTTGATACCACATTATTTTATGATTATTAGTTTATATACAGTAATATTAGATCATATATTTCAAATAAATTAATGCATAAATAATAATTTAAATAATATTTTAAAGCACTCAGAATTGAAAAGGTTAAATTATTTTATTTTTTTTGGTCAGTTTTCATTTAAAAAATTGTGAGTATAAATAAGAATTTTGTTACTTTAAGAAACAAAACAATTTTTACGTATTAGAGAAATATGCAATTTCAGTTTTACTTATTTGTCTACGTTTCTTAATTTTAGAATAATTGTATGTATATAGGTAATAAAAAAAGATTAAAAATTGAACTTCTACCCAAGTAGAAAGTTTGCTAAAATTTTATTCGACTGTTTGGATGAAAAGTTTTTTTTTTTTGGTTGCACAGATAAAATAAACAAAAATTTAAATTATGTGTCATTCAAAAAATACCACCAAGGCTAATCTCTACTCATTTTTAAATTGTCAATAATTTAGAAGAAATATACAAATTATATTTTGAAATGTAAAACAAATAATGTCTATTAGGTTTATAAATTATTGTAGAGTAAATGGTATAGTTAAGAAGAAAAAAAATTATATATTGTCATTACTGTCCATCTTGATAATTACTGTCCTAGTACCCAAAAACACATTTTAAAATAACAAGCAAGAGTTTTGGTGTTTTAACTTGTGTGTGTGTTTTAAAATTTTTTTTAAAATATAAATATTGTGATTTTACTTAAGATAATATAAAAATCTAAGTGATACAAAGATGTTTTTACAATGAAAATGTAAAAATTCTTAATATTTCTTCAAATGTTTCCTTTAATTTACTTATTAATTACTGATTCATAGAGAAAAAATTAAATATTTTCTTATTTTTTTAAAGCATTAAGTGAAGGGACAGTAATTACATTTTTCCATGCAATTATAATTTAAAACTGTATCTAAATTTTTAATTTTAAACTTTTTTCATTGCTGGTCATTTTGTATACTTAAATGCATGGTTTTAATGTAACATTATCAATATAAATAAACTATGAGATAATATTTTGGGCAAAAGTTTTGAGGAAATCACCCACATTATATATTTTGTTATTGCCTCTTTTTAAGGTCATTCTGTTCAACTACTTGGAAGTAAAAGAGCTTCTGGTAAAAAACTTGGTGGTGCATCACTGCAGTTACCAAAAGTTAGAAGAAATGAACTGATAGAAATTATCCCTATCAATACTGGGTATAGTAACATCTTTTTTATAAATTGTTAGCTGTTTTATATCTTTTATTTCAGTAGTCCTGATTAGCACTTTTTACTTAAATTCTAATGTCTCTTCATTCATTGTTCTTCATTTATTCAATGTATCTTTTCTCAACATTTGTTTTTCCGATTTTCTTACAATTACACGATTTTTGTTTCATGTATGTATTTTTCAAAATTTAATTTCATCTGTTGCTATAAGTATTTTTATTGCTGTAATCTTATTATTAGCGATAAAACTAAAATATGTAATTTTAATGGTAAAATTTGCTACTTATGATCCATTATTTTAAATTTTACACAAATTGTTCAAAAAATCAAGAAATTGTTAGTTAATTTTAACTGCAATTACTGTCTAGAAGCAAGTTATGTTAAAATTACTTATGTTAAAATTATTTATTTTTTTGGTTCATTGTATCGTCCATTTAAATGAATTTCATTAATATAGTTAGTTAAATTTTAATAAAATCTCACTGAGGATATGCTAACAACCAATTTAAAATGTTTTAAGTAATTTGAAAAACAATCTCTTATCCTAAATATTCACTTTTCCAAAATATTTATTAAATATTTTTGCATAGGAAGAATATAATTTATGCTGGCAGGGCTGCCATTGGCAACTGAAAAGGTTACTAAATCGACTATTTTAAAGCAATAGCAACTAGGGCGACTATTTTAGTAGAAATATGAGTAAAAACAATTAATTTGCAATGAGTTGCGTAAAATCTGTGACTTTTTTAAGCCAATTAGCGACTAAAATTAAGAATAACATCTTGAGTTTCCCTCTTCCCCCACTTTTTTTTTTGCCGCACGTTTTCGTTTTATCCAAGCTTTATTCTTCCTCACTGATGTCAAAAGCAAGACAGACATGTTTAACCAATCAGACTAATAGAATTGGAATTCACACTGCGTGAATGCTCCTCATGTAATATCTCTGAGGATTACGTTTTTTCCCCTCTTATAATTTGAATGAAGTAGCAAAATAAAAAAAAATTGTCTTTAATTACACAAAATAGGTAGTTAATTTTTTTAGAGCGATTTACAATAGAAAAAAAGGTAATGGTGATATTCGTTTTGTCGAATTGGGATCGTAATTTTTTTGATAAGCTTTAAATTTGGAAATGCTTCAGTTAGAAAAATAAACAAAATAAAAACTTGATAGATAAATTAAATTGCAATATTTCTTTTTCTTTTCTTCAAATGTCTAAACTAAGCAGCTGCAAATTAAAGCCGAGAAAAGAAATTCGAGTTTTAAATTCACCTATTCTGTAGCAAATAAAAATAAGACTCCCTGTTTTTATGTGTAGTGTGGCAGAATAAGGGTCCACAAGTAATTACAATTTTGGATCGGTTTGTTTTGATGTTCCGTTCGATTTGGAATATTGAAGTTTGCAGGGACCACAGACGTCATATTTCCCCTACTTTTTCCATTATTTCGGCACTCTTCCTTTTTTTTCTCCTGTTATATCCTATTTTTCTTATTTTTTAAAAAATCCTCTCATTTCTGCTTTTCCTTTTTTAAAATGCATAGTGACAGCCAACGAAACGAAATAATGACTCAAGGTCAAGTATTGCAACTGCACTTGTTTTCAGGGATGAGATTCTTCCGCAGATTTCCGCGGAAATTTTTTTGATTTTTGAACAAGTTAAAATATTTTATGAGGAATTTAATTTTCCGCAGAGCGAAAGCATTGAAGTCCTCATTCCTCCTTCTGAATTTTCTCAAAACATCATTTCCTTGGGATAAAACTGGTTGATTTTTATACAGGGATGAGATTTTTTCGCTTTTGCTTTTCAAATTTCAGCCTTTTTATCAAAAACTCGGATTCTCTAAAAGTTTTTTTTAAAAATAAATATCCCGCTTTTTTTTTTTTTTTGAAAATTCAATCGTTAAAATAAAATAATCATATTTATTTACGATTTTCAAAGATAAACAAAAAATTCAAACTACATCCTAGCTGCTAACCCACCCTTCCGTATTTTTACTTATTTTAGCTATTTTCTCTTCACAGAAAATAAGATTTTCCGTATTTTTATTCGTCCGCCGGATAGCTCGTATTTTTGCANTTTTTGAACAAGTTAAAATATTTTATGAGGAATTTAATTTTCCGCAGAGCGAAAGCATTGAAGTCCTCATTCCTCCCTCTGAATTTTCTCAAAACATCATTTCCTTGGGATAAAACTGGTTGATCTTTATACAGGGATGAGATTTTTTCGCTTTTGCCTTTCAAATTTCAGCCTTTTTATCAAAAACTCGGATTCTCTAAAAGTTTTTTTTTTTTAAAAAAAATAAATATCCTGTTTTTTTTTTTTTGAAAATTCAATCGTTGAAATAAAATAATCATATTTATTTACGAATATTTATTTACGATTTTCAAAGATAAACGAAAAATTCAAACTACATCCTAGCTGCGAACCCTTCCGTATTTTTACTTATTTTAGCTATTTTCTCTTCACAGAAAATAAGATTTACTGTATTTTTATTCGTCCGCCGGATAGCTCGTATTTTTGCAATTCAGACGTCATGACCCTGTGGTCTGGCATGAAAGTAAACGAAAAAATAAATAAATAAAATAATAGAGGTGGATTTGGGGTGAAAATATTTATTTGCTCATTCAATTAATCTTGTAAATTTTTATTTATTATGTCTAAGCAAAGACTATACAAACTAGCCTTTTAGAACTTCCAAGTCCAGTCTCTCGCGGTTTTAATATCCATCATCGATTTTCGTATTTACCTGATTTAAAAGTTGCGCAATGGGATTCTTATTTACGCTATTCAAACATCGTACATTATGATTCTTAGTTACGAGATTTAAAAATCCAATATTTCGTTTTGCATTTATGCATTTTTAAAATCGCAATTTTATTATCAAACATCGATTTTCGTATTTGCCTGATTTAAAAGTTGAATGTTGCGAGTCTTATTCAGGCGATTTAAATATCGTACATTGCGATTCTTATTTACGAGATTTAAAAATCCAATATAGCGATTTGTATTTACGCGCTTTTAAAACCCTATCATGTAGCGATTCGTATTCACGATTTTCGCATTTGCCTGATTTCAAAGTTGAACGTTGCGAGTCTTATTCAGGCGATTTAAATATCGTACATTGCGATTCTTATTTACGAGATTTAAAAATCCAATATAGCGATTTGTATCTACGCGCTTTTAAAACCCTATGTAGCGATTCGTATTCACGCGAGCTTAAAATCCTATGTCGTGACTCGTTATTGCGGTTGTAATATCAAACATCGATTTTCGTATTTATATGAAATCCAATCCAATATAGTAATTTGTATTTACGGTTTTCAAAACCCTATGTAGCGATTCGTATTCATGCGAGCTTAAAATTCTATGTCGTGATAAGTTTTTGCGGTTGTAATATCAAGCATCGATTTTCGTATTTATACGTGCTTTAAAAATGCTTGCTGTGATTTGTATTTGCGCAACTTGAAAATTATGCATCGTGATTCGTGTTTGCGTGCTCTAAAAATTACGCATCATGATTTGTATTTCTGCATATCTTAAAATTCTATATAGAGTTTCATATTCACATGATTTAAAAGCCTCATATCGGGATTCATATTCTCTCAATTTAAAATTAAGGCATGTGATTAATATTTATATATTCATACAAATTAAAATTAATCATCAGGATTTATAATCACATGGTTTACTAGTTTAAAGATCTCACTCTTTTTGTCAAATTTTTGTTTATATATATATATATATTCATTCTTGGATTTCCTCTTTTTTACTTTCTAGCTGCTCTCATCCCTGTGTTTTTCAATTCATTAATTTTGAATGAGGGTGTGAGGAGCAGAACGCGGTAGAACGTGAATTTTTATTAGTTCGTCAGCTTCTGTGTCTGCTTGCCAATTCATGTTTAACTCATGAAGCCAATTCATGAAGCTGATGAAAAATTATGAGTAACAGAGAGAGAACATGAAATTGAATTGGTTAGAATTTATAAACTTGTTCATGAAAGGAAAACAAATTTAATTGATTTCTATACTGAAAGCCCCAAGAAAATGTTAAGAAAATAATAAATTTCACATTTTATACAACATAGTTTGTATTTTTCCCACTTCATTTTCAATCATAAAATTCATAATTTTAATTTATTTGTACCTATATAATAATTTTCCTTTCATATTATTGTTGAAAATTATTTAAGTACTTTTGGAATGCATATTTTGTTTATTATATGCAAATTTTTATTTTATGGTAAAGTTTTATGGTTTATTTTATGGTATGGTATGAAAGTAAACGTCATTTCTACTTCATTTTTTATAATGCCTAAAATTTTTAGTCTCAAGCTTTTTTTTTCAATGCATTTTTTTTAATTACAACTATTGTTTCTTATATAATATCTGAAGCCTTATGCCTCATAAAGAATAAAACTAAAAATAGATATTTTTAAAATGTTCAAATATTTTGGAAGTTTTCTACAGCAGTTCCTTCAGCATTCCTCTATCTATATATTGTTGGTAAATCCACAAATAAGTGTACATTTTTTATAAAATATGAGTATCTAACTGCAGATTATTTGAATTTCATGCTATACAAATGNTTTCTACAGCAGTTCCTTCAGCATTCCTCTATCTATATATTGTTGGTAAATCCACAAATAAGTGTACATTTTTTATAAAATATGAGTATCTAACTGCACATTATTTGAATTTTATACTTTTATAGCACAAATAATTAAAATTATGTAAGAGGAGGATATGATGTTGGCACCTATTTTATATATCTTGGAGGCTATTTAGGAGACTTTTTTTCATATATGATGCAACTAAAGCAACTATTTTTCTTGTTTTCATCCAGTGGAAGCCCTGTGCTGGCAAGTAGAGCAGATTTATTAACAAACATCTAGAATACAAGGAACATGGTAAATGCTGCTTCCACTCGAAAGGCATGAATTATACCTATATAGTGCCTACATACTATTTAACCTATAAGGAAACGGAAATGACGTAAGAGAATGTTCAAGAAACTTCTAAAACATTCCATAAATAATAACTAAAATTTTAAATTACTTATGTACACATTGAAATGCCTCTGAAATCTTGGTAGAAATCGGCAGAACTTGAGGGATCAAATTCAGGAACTCCGACTTGCCAAGTGAGTTCCTTTAGCCGCTTGGCCGTGCCAACATGTTTCGTGCCAATATAATTATCCTGAATATTCCAAACATGATTTTCTTAAATATTCTAAATATAAATTTATAAAATATTCTTAATACAAATTTCCAAAAGATTCAAAATGTAAATTTATAAATATATCTTAAAGTTGCATGTATCGGAGATTAATTATATTTAAAATTTAGTATGTTTTGAGTTCATATATGAGAAATTTATATGCTATGATGAATAATTTTCTGGGTAATAGCTTATTGATTTTAACTAGTGCTATAATTTCAATTGCAGTTGTTTAAATCATTGCACATACTGTAAAACAAAACAAGCTAGAGGGAACTTAGCTAGTTATCCAATTCAAGAAATTGTTGATCGTGCAAAGCAAGCAATAGCAGGTACTTCTTTTTATTTCTGCATTTGAAATGTATTTAATTCTAAGTATAAAGTATTTTTAATTAAATTAATTTTTGTACTGGTTAGTCATGTCAATTTATATTTTAATAGATAATGAAAGAAGAAACGATGATATTTTTAATTGACTTCTTTAAATTTTTGTAGTTTTTAGAATGTTTTTAAACTGTATTAACTTGATCTTTAGCTTGACTTTTTTACTAATTAATTTTATTTGTCTTTTTCCCCTTACCTGTGTTAAATTATTTTGCTTGAAGACCTTGACAAGAACTTTTTGCTGAATGGAATCTTGTTAGTGAATAGAAGGTGTATTGCAAAACTGTGTCTCAATGAAAAATTTTCTGATAAATATAGTTTTGAAATAATATTGCTAGATAGGGGAAAATTATTGTGAAGAAGGTGCTTCAATATTCTATTAAAAAAATATTCTGTTTTCATTCTTTTGACTATATTGAACTGGAATCGCAATGAGCGGTAAGAAACATACATAAAATCTATAGATATTTTTTATTAATTTGAAACCCACCTTCTTTGTTTTTAGGTTAAAAGAGAAAAGATAGGTAGATTTTTACTTTTATTTATGTGGAGAAGTTTTTTATTTATATTTAACTTGTCAAAATTTTCTGCTTTAAGTATATATTTTTTCTCCTTTTTGTATTTTATAAATGGAATCTGGTTATAGGTACACTCTTGCTAGAATATCATCAACTAGAGACCTAATTTTAAAGTAATCATTTTAAGAATAACCAAAATATTAATACAATTTTTAATGGATATTGTTCAGGTAAAAGAATAATTAAGCCTTTGTTGAATTCACTAAAGTTATCACGGTTGTATTCATTAAAGTTATTACTTTCGAACTCATTCGGATTGCATTGATATTTGATTTTCTTTTCCTTTTTAAATCATCACAATGATTTAAATAGTATAATGCTGTGAAACTTTGATTAGAAGTGTGAAGCAACTGGGATCTTTCTAAAAAGAATTTCTGCTATTTTGGTACTTTAAAAATAAATTTTGTTAGCTTTTGAATGAAAAAATATGTTTGAAATTTAAGTTTTGAGGCCATTCAAATATTTTGTAAGAATCTATTTGGTAATATTGTGCTTCTCTCTTGTGTATGGTCTTTGTTTTCTAAATGTAATATATTTTGCAATATACTAGAATTTTTCGATAATTGTGGAAATTTAAATTTTTATATATTTAAATAAAAAAAATTTTTTGTCAGGATGCAATATTTTTTTTTAAATTTTGAAATTTTTTTTAAGTTAATTCTTTTTTAATCATTATTAATAGTTAAATTCATGTTTCAACAAATTTTGAAAATTATTTTATGCTGCAGTGTAGGAAAGTGCATCTAAAACAGTCAATACTACATTTTAAGATTAAACCAAAGTTTAAGAAAAACGAACTTATTGAAACTTCAATTTTAAATTTAGTTTATGTTTTAAATTATAATGCACAAAACAATCATTTGCTTCACCATTAAATCAAATTCACTGTTTTTCTTCATATTTTTTTTCTCCATAAACAATGTCTGCAGTATAGTAAAACTGTCATCTTTTATTTAATTGGAAAAGATATGCATTTCATTTAATTATTCTTTTTAACTGCTTATTCTAATCATGTTCTGAAAATTATTCTATGTTTTTTAATACTGAATAATAATACTTTGCAGAGGGTGTCAAAGAAATTTGGATAACTTCAGAAGATACAGGTGCCTATGGAAGAGATATAGGGGAAACACTGCCAAAATTGCTTTATCAATTAGTAGAGGTAATACCAGATGACTGCATGCTTCGGCTTGGAATGACAAATCCACCATATATACTAGAGCATTTAGAAGTATGTATTATGTAGTAATAATATCCTAAATATTTTATTACGTAAGCAATTTACCAACTAAAATTTTTTATGGGTTTTTTTGTTTGGATTTTATAATCATACCTTAAATATTTGGATACTATAATCAACTTGTACTTTTTCTTTTTGTATATTATGTAATAAAAAGTAATGAAATTTTTATTGATAAAATACGGAATCTGTAAAAATGGTTAAAGATTTCAAAATACACTTTATTGAGCTTTTATGGACAGAAAACTATTTTATTTGTTTGGTTCAAATTTTGTTTTTTGAAATTGCATAGTTTAAAATGATATAAAAATATGCACATCTTACATTAAAAAATTTTTTTTTACCGTTATTAAATGAAATGATAAATTTAAAAAAGAAAAAAAGAACATTTTTTTTTAATTAGTTTGCTCTGAGGATAAAAAAGTTTATATATGATAAAGTACAAATTAATGTTAAGGTGCCCAAATTTTAACTGCATTCAGACTAAATTATTGGAACCATATTTTCTAGATATTGTCTTATCTATGTTTTTTTGGAGATAGTATGTTTTTGTGTCCAATTTCGTAACTTAATTAATAGTTAGTACTAATTACATTTGAGGTCACTCTTTGAACCTTTGAGAATGAAAATTAGAGAAAATCTGATCATATGAATAAAATTTTTACATAATATTATTTTTTTCTTTGGCACATTGATACATTAATTATGGATTCATCAATGGTGATAAAAAAAATGTATGCACTGTAAATATTACTCTGCCTTATAATTAACAAATTTAACTATTGTTTAATGCAAAATAGTTACTATCTTTTAACTAGTAAAATTATAACAAAATTATTTTCTGCTTTAAATAATTTTTAGGACATGTCAAAAATTTTGGCCCATCCACGAGTGTATTCTTTCCTGCATGTCCCAGTTCAGTCAGGCAGTGATTATGTCTTGGGAGAAATGAAACGAGAATATTGCATAGATGATTTTAAATTAGTTGTTGAATTCCTAAGGAAAAGGTAAATTAATTAACTTATATTTAAATAAGTTATTGCTATTTACATTATTTAATCATTGTATTTTGGAGAAAAAAATGTAATTATAACTTATGCAGGGTGCATAACCAAATTTTTTAAACAAAAAATAAGCTCCTTTTAAATAATCCAAGTGAATAATCCTCAATTCAAGCTCAAGGAATGTGGTACCAATCTAGAAAAGAACAGTGTAGAATATTATTAGCTTGCCAGTGACAAAGAGGATGGTGCTTCGCTGATACACTCTTATAATGCCCAATTTTTCTGGTTATTTCATTGTAAGGTTTATAAAATATTTTCAGAATTTACTTGAATTCTCCAAAATTTATTATTGAACTCTCTTCCACTATATAATATATTGCAGCACTCAAAGTGGTTTACATCTCTGCTATTTTATCTTTCATGTGATCTTCTTATTTGTTACAATTTTATTTCTAAACTAGACTTTCATTACTATTTATTTTTAATTAGATTTTATTATGTATTACTTTTTCCTCTTTTGCTGAACTTCCTTATCCTTATTTAGTATTACAGTCAGCTTCTGTTCCTCGAAAGTTTGTAATTTTCTCTCATTAGATGCAGATTTGAAACTGGCAAAAATGCCAGATTTAATATTTATGTCATTGCGTATTTATATTATTAAGTTTGACATGTTGGCATTTTTTAACAATTAGATAAAATTTTTACTTTCCAAACATCAAAATTCATTGTTATTTTTATTTTTTAAAAAATTATAATTAAAAAAAAAAGAAACAAACATCTTTATGTGAAATCTTTAATATTATTGTGTATATTGTTGAGAAAATGTCAAAGATTAAAAAAAATTCCTTTTTTTAAAATTATTTTTGGCACTCTTGTCCTATCTTTGAGTAATTCATACCATTCTTCTTTATTAACTATTTTTAGGGTGTTATAAATTGTCCACAGATGTGGAAAGCTACATAAATTACAATTGTCTCCATGCCGACCGGACTGTTGTGTAGTGGTCAGGAAGCTGACCTCACATCGGAAAAGTCCTGGGTTCAAATCCCAGTCAAGACATGAATGTTCTTTCATTCTCTGTCCTTACTGTGAGAGCAACGTTTTCCCACCTAATATGGTGCCCTGAAAGAGTGGCCAAAAAATTTGCCCTACTGACACTCGAATAACGAGTGTCAATCGTGTTGGCATTGAAAAAAAAAATTTCATAATCGCTGTATGTCCACAAAATTTTTCTTTTTTAGGAAAATGACTTCATTTACAATATAATATTATCTATTCTGTGCTGCTTCATCTTCTTTATTAACTCTAAGAATTTTTTTCAAATTTGTCCTCGACTGTCTCTCTTTATTGCTGATAGTTTGAATCCGATGGTCAATATAACTAGGTATATACCAAACTAGTCAGATCCAAAACAGTGTTGACCAACTAGCATTAAACCTATAAAAACTGCTCAACTTTTTGACTGAGGAAAGCTAGCTGAAATATTCAATGAAAGCGCTGTACCCTGTTAAGCAACCCAAACCAAATTTTTACAGAACTAAGATAAAGTTTGAAGGAATGTTCAGTTTCTTGACTAACTGCACTTGAATGAAATTTAATGATCTGTATGATGTTGAATATGAATATAAAGTAAATTAAAATTTTTACTGTAATAATTGGAAGAAAAAAAATTAATAAAAACAAGGAAGAAAATAAAAAATGCATTATTTCTCCTTTCCTTTTCATAAAACCTTCTATGTGAAGATGTTAATTTAGCATTAGGCGATTTCTAGTTTCATTAAAGCCCTAACAACATGGTAAAATAAAGAGAATTCCTACAACTTTAAGTCTGTGATGTATCTAAACTTTATACTGGTGTGGAAAAGGGCAACAAAGACATGTTAACGGAATATAATATTCTCCAAGTTTTATTTCGGAAGAAAAATGCAAGAATTATAATTTTATTATTTGACCCCTTTTCTCGTTTAAGTATCACATTTTTTTCAGTTTTTGATAAATTTATTTATACACTTTTACTGTATCTTATTGTTTTAACTAAACATTCTTATTTAATACTACTTTATTTTATGTTCTATAGAGTTCCTGATATAACTATTGCTACTGATATCATTTGTGGCTTTCCAACAGAAACACCAGAGGTAAGAAATTGTATTTTTTTCAACTTTTTATTTAACATATAACTTTTATAAACATAAATTTATTGCTTTTTCTATTTTCATTGTAAATTGACAAAAATAATCAATATTTTTTTCAGTTGTGATTTTAGTATAGACATTTTCCTTCGATTCAGTTGAATTTGTCTAACTTCATTTATTGCTTCTTAAACTATTTAAAGTTGTGAAGAAAGATAGAAAAAGGAATGTTAAATAACTATATTTACAAATTATTATTTTTTATTCTTAGTTAGATTGTGTATTATAGCGAGCATGTCTTAAAAAAAATTAGTTTGATAATGTTTTGAAACATGAGAAAAGTCCCTAAATATGATTTATACCCCCTTTTAACTGCCTGAGGAAAAAATTCATTGTAAATAAGCAAGTTTCTTTAATAGGAGCTCTCAAAGTTTTGCAAACGTCAACTGATATTTTCTATGCAGATACAAAAGTTCATAGAGAGTTAAACAAATAAAAAAATTATATATAAATCATTTGAATGGATTCACATATTTTTTGAGAGTCAAACTGTGAAAAAAGCCGAATTACATACTATCAGTTCCAGAGTGCTATTCTGGTAAAATAATAATTACATCTATAGTTTTATTATTCTACACTGTAAATAGGGATCATAGGATTAGTCTATTGTTGTAGGAGTGTACTAGCTTTTAACGGAGCCTTCTCTATATAAGGATGGCTGTAAATTGTATCGAATTAGCAGTAAATGATTCCTAAAACAAAGTATATCCTGTACAGAAAACACCTTCTGGTGATACACTCAATCATCTAAAAATTGGCCATCAGGAGTTTAAAACTATCTCCAGTTTTAGTTACCTTTGTTAGCTATCTAAATACAACATTACCTCTGAAATCCTATGTTTTATGTCCAACAAAATACTTTTTGGATTTCACACTTTATTAAGATCTCACTTTCTCTCCAGAAAAAAAAAAGTTTCTAATCTATAAAACTCTTAATAGGCCAGTTCTGAGCCGTGGTGATTCAGGGGATAGAGCATTTGCCTTTCAATCAGATGAACTGGGTTGGAATCCCAGCGATGGCTGGTTGATTCGAATGCCGCTCCCGGCTCGCACTGGTGTAAAATATCCTCAGTGGTACACAGTTAATGGTCCCCTTGCAGTCAGTCTTACTGTTGGAGGTTTTCCTCTCCATATAACGCAAATGCGAGTTACTTCCATAAGAAAGTCCTCCACAAAGGGAAATTTCTCCCAATATTTTATCTAGGAGTTCCCTTGTCTCCTAGATTAGGTTTAAAATTATAAGGCTACGAGGGTGACCAATAATAGTTTAAAGTTGAAATCGGGTGGGTTGGTCAATGGCAGTTATAAAATAAAATAGGCCAGTTTCAATGTACATTTTATATATCAACCAAAAACCTGGCTACTATCTAAAAATTGAGAGCACAAAATAAGTTTTTGAAAAAAAGGTTTTCAGAAGCATACTTGGCAGTGTTAAAGAAATATACTTCTGGTGAAAACGTTTTAAATTGGAAATTTGTAGAATATTTAAAGAGCCTAATATCTTCAAGAATATCAAAATTAAAACAATTAACTCAGTTGCTAATATTGCCAGAATGGTTGAAAAACATCCGTAATTCCGATTCTATAGAATCAGATTTTAAAATGATTGGGATAAAAGTTTGGCAGTTTAGGTTAAAAAATAGGTTTTCCTAGAGGAATCTTCAACAGAAGTACTTAGCTCACCAAGTAATGCCAATATTATTGAGCTTTTATTATTTGCAACTAATATTATTGCTCTTATTTTCTTTTTGTAGGATTTCCAGGAGACATTAAATTTAGTGAAACAATACCATTTTCCAGTTTTATATATCAACCAGTTTTTTCCCAGACCTGGCACTCCAGCTGCAAAAATGAAAAAAATTCCTGGACAAGAGGTAAATATTCTTTCGATCAAAAAAATTATGTGATTTATTTTTAATATTGATCAATCCATTTTTAATTGAACCATTTCATATTAAAGTGGCATCCTAATTTTGAATAATGTTTTTTTTTGCAAATCTTGTGGTTCTTAAACATTTAAATAAGTGATTCTCCTTTGATTTGTGTATATTCATTATGAAGATTGAATCATTGCATTATGGCTTTTAATTTTTTTATTGCTATCAGCATTGTTTCATATTTCTCTTCCTTTGATTATCTGCACTTTTCATAGTTTATTTAGGATGGTGTGAATTATGTTTTAAGTTGAATGAAATTTTTAAATAGTAAACATTTTATACTTACTATTTTAAATTGTTAATAATCAGACAAATTTATGTTGTTTTATTTGTTTATTGATTTAAATATTTGAGAAGATTAAAAGAACACTAAGAATTTTTAATTTTTTCTGTTTTCAACTATATGAATCATCCCATCGTATACCCGATAAGTGTCATTATGATCTTTCTTTCCCTGTAAATGTGAAACATTTCTGTTCTCCTCTTACATTCTTTTTATATATTTAACTAACGTAATTGTTGTTTAAAAAGTCTTTTACATCCCCTCCCCCCCCAGTAAAGGATATAATTCTGAGTTTTTTCAAATAAGTCTATTGACTTCATTTTTTTTTTTTTTTTTTAATTTCCCATCATTTGTATAAAATATGATTTTATTTCAGATATGCCACAGCTGTTTTGAAAAAAAAAGCTGAATTTTGTGTTGTAACTTAAAACTTTAGAAACATGTTATAATATAGAAAAATACTTTTTTTTATAAGTCAAACTTTTTAAGTTGTCTTACGATGCCATTACCTTTTGATCTTACAATTAGAATAATTTCTTATTAAGAGCTACTAATCTGAAGTGATTTAATATTTTGTTTAAAATTGTTATTTAGTTTCTTTTAATATATATAGTTAAAGAACTTCACTAATTTCTAAGGCAACTAAATATTTTTTTTTTAAAATGAATAATTTGTGACTTATGTTGGGAAGATATGATCAATCAAGTTCTCTTACTTGATTGATCATATCATTACATTATTGAAGCATTTTGAAAGATGCTATTTCTGAAGAGTCTTAAATTTCTGAAGCAACAAATTAAGTTACTTTAATCACATTTGTACAATTTATTTTAAATTTCTATATTTAAGTTTATGGTGGAAATCAGGTAAATAAAAGAAAATTCTGCGGAAAAGTGACTGTATTTGAAAAACAAAAAAAAACATTTTTTTAAAACATGATATTCAATAAAGAAATTTTTTAATGCATAAAAATAAGAATTTATTGATCTATTAATTTTGATATGCCAGTGGACTGAAGCTTAAGACTTTACACAGGGTGCGTACAGACTTCTTAGAAACTCCTTGTAAATAAAAAAGTCTCCAAGGAGTACTTGGAACTCCTTAGATTATTGCGTCACATTGACAAACTTTCTAAGTTCGCTGATGAATATGCTGTCCAAGCAGGGAAACTAAATGATATGACTTAGCTGTCAAAATATAATAGTTTAAGAAAAACTTTTTAAAAAAAAATAACAGCAAATAATTTTAATTTTACATGTAACAAGCAAACTTAATTAATAAATTACTTTTTTTTTTGTACAAAATGCCTTAGATTTTCTTATGTATTCAAATTTAAAAATATAAGATTGAAAGGTTTTTATGTTAATCTTTTAACATCTGTACTATGCACTCCAACAAGATTTATTAAAATATTTGAAGCTGGAAAATGCATTTATGTGTGAAATTATAACTTTATTTTTCTTGATGAAGTTTGACTAAGTCAAAATGTATTTCAAAAGGGCTAAAAATAAATATCTTATGCAAAATATAAATTTTTGCAAGTTCTTTATAATAACTGCTTTTTAATTTAAAAAAAAAAAACTGTCTAGTTATCTTTCACACAAAGTTTTTAAATTTTTAATAAGTCCTTAAAATTTTGACTCCTTGGATTTCTTTTTCTGATCTCTGTATGAACCCTGTTTACAATTTGTTTTTAATCGCAGGTGAAACAGAGAACTAAAACCTTGAGTGATTACTTCCAATCTTACACATGTTATGACAAGAATGTCGGTTGTACCCAAAAAGTTTTAGTCACAGAAGTATCTCACGATGGAGAACACTATGTTGGGCATAACAAATGCTATGAACAGGTATGTAGTTTATCGTTATTCAAAAGGATTAAAGTTTTGTTTTGAGAAACTACATAATCGACAAGTTTTTTTTTTTCATTGTTAAAAATTGTACTCTCTTTGTAAAAGCAATGATTTTTTTAAAATTTACAATATACAGTCGAACCTCGATTTCACAAATTTTTCGATATCTCGAAGAAGAAAAAAATTCCCTTAAAATTTCCTATACACTCAATGTTAAAAAAAAACTTGATTTCACGAATTTTTTTTCTAATCCCTCGATAACTTGAACTTTTTTTCCATAAATAGAGTAGATTTTTTTTCTAAAATTAAAAAAATATTAAAATTAAAGAATATCTGACAAGGCATGGAATGATGTGTCTTCCTCTAAGATAATGAATGGCTTCAAGAAGTCTGGATTCATTAAAGATCACGAAAGTAGTCAAACAATCAATATCGTTAATTCTGCTGAAAACTACACCGAAAATGACTGGAACAGATTGACCGGACTCGTGAAGCTTGATGACATGGAATTTCATGAGTTTGTAAACGTCGATGATGCAGTAACAGTGTGTGGTCAGTGGGATGACAATATCATCGCTGAAACGAAAGCTTCTTGTGAACTATCAGAAGAATAGGATGAGGAAATCGAAGATTTACCGCCCAATGTTACTAACAAACATGCACTTTCTGCAGTGGACACTGTTAGGAGATTTATTGAGAGGCAGCCGAATATGTCAGAGGAGACATTTAATACTATATTCCACTTAGAAAGTGTTATAGACAAACTTTCTTACACATCTCTAAAGCAAACAACAATTGAATCTTTTTTTAAATTAAAGTGCAAAAAGTGTTTTTAGAATAAATATGGAATAGTAAATAAGGTATGTAAAGAGCATTTTTCTTTATTCTATCATCGATAACATGCGATTTTCGATATCTCAAATTTTTTCTCCTCTCCCTTCAAGTTCGAGATATTGAGGTTTGACTGTATAATAAAATGTATGTTTTAAGAAAACAATGGATTTTTTTTAAACAAAATTTTATACTAAAATGCAAAAAAAAAACTTCCTCAATATGCAGTGGTTGGAACTAACATATTACAAGTGGCAAAAGCATTGTACGTGCATAATTTCGAAGTTTGTTGTGAAAAGCATTACCTATCAAAAAAAGTAGTGCAATATACATAATAAAAAAAATAGCTTAAAAAGATTCCCGTCGGCAACTAATCTTAACTTCTGTTTAATTAATAAAGAAATTAAGGTTCAAACAAGTACTTTTCAAACCTGACTAGTAAAAATCTTCATCATTGTAACATTTTGCCTTATAGCTCCTGATGTAGTATGTACAGTATTTCTTAGATGAAGTGAAAAAAATTTTAGCACTTAATAAACTTAAGCCTGTTGCACTAAACATTTTTTTAAATAGTTTTTAGAGCACCTCTAGAACTCAACACTGCAGAAAACTATAAAATAACATCCCCCTCCCTTTTCTAATAGACATATACGTCTATGTGCTTTAACTACACAATTAAAATATGTTCCTATCTATGATAAAAACGCAAAGTGAGCTTATAATATGAGAGTAGTAGAATGAGAGTGAAAAAAAATGCATTTAACTGAACGAAAATATTTTCACATGTTTTAAAATTTAGAAACCCTCTGAACTTCAGTCCGTTTTCCCCCCTGAACTTTCAGATACAGGATTTCCTGTATCGAAAAACCAGTTTGCAAGTGTTGCAATGGAAATGTAAAGCATAGTAGGAAAATTTCAGTTTGATGTTATCCAGGAGTTTGGGTGCTAGTTCTTAGACGAAGTGTAATGTTTGAGCCAAAACCATATCAGAAATTATGTGCACACAATCTTTTGACAGCTCAATGAGTTTATCTTAAAAATACCCAAAACATGAATTATAATATTACTAATGCTAACTATTCATATTTCTCCATAGGTATTAGTTCCTAAAGAAGAACAGTATCTTGGAAAATTCATAACAGTTAAAATAGTGAAAGCAGGGAAACACTACATGATTGGACAACCAGTATCTTCCACAAACAGTGAAGATTTTTATAAAGTTGCAATTAGAAACATTATATTGTTCTCAGTGATAATTTTAATAATTGAACTTCTTATAAAGTTATTACAGAATAAAATATTTTAACTTATTTATTTTGCTGGTTTCAATAGTTCTACATCATTTTATTTCTGATTTTCCTTTTCTCATCATATACCCTACATTTTATAAAGGAGTACTAGATAATTGAGAAAAATAAGCTTTTGTAGGTTTATGTATTTTTAAATATAAAACAAATTAATATTCATTAATAATTCATGCAGTGCCTAAATTTTAATTAATTTATCAATTAAAATTTTTTTTTTACATATTTTTATAGTTACTCAATATTTTAATACATATTAGGAAAGAAAAAAAAACTCCAATTTCTTGTTTATTCACTAGCATAATAGGAAAAATGCACACTTCTCTAAAAAAAGAACAAGACCAATAGAATATGCAATAAAGGAGGAACAATTTTATTCCATTTCACATATGGACAGAAAGATGCTGTTATTGCAGAAAAATGTATATACAATCATAAATGTGATAAAATTGAAAGGAAAATTGCAACAAATTTCACAAGTATAAAATAAATTCATACAAAAATTTAAAAAAAAAAAAAAAGACCAATAAAATCACGCAGTTATTTGGCAATATTATTAAGTTGTAAACTTATATATTACAAGATAATATTAAAACAAAATATACCACTTTTAAAAAATTTTATTTTTATAGATATATTGAAGATAAAAATAATCGACAATTAAGATTTTATACTTGTGCATAAATGACCGGTGTATTTTAAGTGACTGCAAAACAATTTGTTCAATAATTTGAACCAAAATTAAGTTTCACATACACAATAACTTTGTTTAGAATGGTAAGTATATAGATAAAGTCAAAATTTAAATTTTGACAATATTTTTAGAAGATAAACTAATAAGAAAAATACATCAACACATATATTACATAAATGGAAATAGCTTTAAAAAAAATCATATACAGTTTTAACCACACAACAGTTAAAAAGTATGCAAAGTTTAATGTAATAAAGGGAAGTAATTACTATTAGGAAATAAAGTACTAGAAAAATACAATTTTTTTTTGATGAAGATAATGTTGTCGAAGTTGATCATTGTTTAAAAGCGAATTTTCATTATAAAGAATTGTGGACTCTCGTAAATTTTGACTAGTGATATAATATCTATAAAGCCATTTGTAAGAATTGAGATGACACAGTATACATATTATAAATGTTTTGCATTACTTCAAATCTAATTTTTCCTTAAAAATAGAAAAAAAATTACAACTTAAACTAGCATGACTTAATTATAGGCATGTTATAATATCGGGCCATATACTTTTCCTCATGTGGAATGTTCACAGCACATCAAACCCAGACTCTTATATTTTGGAAAACAAGCCCCTTGCAATCAATTTCATACATGAAACATTCGAGCATAAATTCTAATATTTGAATTTATTAATGTTCGTCCGCAAATAAAATAGATATTTGATCTACATTTTTTTGTTTATTGGATGATGTTTTCTTCAAAATAGATGTGTATATCAGTTTGTTGGAAAGGCATTTATGAATCATTCAACAGCAAAGTATTCAATTTCTTAGGATTTGAAGAAACATTTTTCTATTAAAAATGATCAATCATGAAATTCATAAGATTAATATATAATAAAAAAACTTTTATTACTTTTAAGTAACTATAGGTTTTCTTTTTAATGAAAAACGAAATTATCTGCAGAAATCAAGTAGGAGGAAATAAAAGTCCTAGCTACGAACATCAAAAGGAAAAATTCAAGTAGTGTTTGCATAAATTTCATATTAAGGATTGCATAGCATCTAAAATATTTTAGAGCTTAGTCAATTTTTGGAAATTTCATAGAGGCTAAAATACAAAAAATATGTTATACTAGTAATTTCCATTTCGAATTGGCTGTATTTTTTTCCCATTTGTCACTTATATGTATATTTATTCCATTTATAAATCAATTCAAACATATTTAATATCACAATTCAAACTTAAATTCGAAAAACTTTAAATAAAAAATAATATTAGATGAAATACTCGTGCAAGCAAGAAGTTGATTGAAAGTTCCAAAAACTTTCCTTATTTTATGGAATTATAAGAATAATAAATATAAGGAGAATACTCCTATAGTTATCTGAAAATTCCAGTAGAGTTAGCAGTTATGAATTAGAACAATAGTACAGGTTTTATTTTGAACTGAGCAACATGTTTTTTCAAAACCGACTTGCTTTTGGACATGTCATAACCCAATGAATAGTTATGCATCATAATCCATTTAACACAGGATAAGACTTATATTCTAATCTCAACGCATTGCATGATCACATAATTTATAGTAATTCTATTTACAGTTGTGGTTAGAACACTGTGTTCGGCACAATTCAAATGATGCAACAAAATAAATGGAATGTATACATAAAAAAGAAACAAAAAGTATTTGCAAACTGATAAATTAAAACAAAACAAAAATATTGCTTCTTTACTAAAATTAAGATACTCTGTAAGATTGTCATCTATTTTTTAACAGTAATGATTCACTTTATAATATGAACATTTATGTTATGAAAATATTTTACTACAGATTTAATTTTTAATTACATTTTGCTCTTTTAGAAATATCAATCTTTACATGTTTCTAAAGTATCCACTCTTTTCATACACTACCAAGACTCAATTCAACCTTATACTTTTTTCATTCCTTGATCATACAAAAAAAAATTCTTTGTAGAATTTACAATTCTAGAGTTCTATTTTTGAATGAATAGCTAAAATATAAGATAAATAGAAATAGATTAAGTCAACTGTATCACATGTTTGCAAACTCTAACAATTCACAAAATTTTCACAATTCGAAGAACATTTTCCAGAGTATAAAAGATTCTACTCTACAAGCCTTATTTCATCATGCATTGAATGATATAAGAAGTAATTATAGAAGGATGCCAACATAGAGGGATATTTTTTCCTTAACTTTTAGGAGCAGGGATAAAACGATGAACTAAATTTAAAAATAATAAAAAAATTAACTGTAGAGCTCTATACGTGTTGAAAACGTACAATTGACAAAATTGTTTTTTATATGTATGTACAGATATACACATACAAAGAGAAAGGAATATAAAATGTTTGTTCTTTGATGTGTAATATATTATATATTTCCCATTTTTCGATAAAACAAAACTCATAGTAAAAATTAAATTTCTTAGTTAAAGAATATTAATGTATAGTTGATAATTAACTCGTTAAGCCAGATTAATCTCGGATTCTGTGAACTTGAGCCAATTATTGGGCATGTTCAAGTAATTTGAACCCGTTATTTTTCATAGTAAGCCATATACTTCTGTATTTTGTGGAATGTCTGAGATGATCAGAAACTGAATCTCAGCTACAGAATTCGTAAGCAGGCATTCGGACATTTATTTCCTCTTATACAAGCATATTACAGAAGAATGCAAGTTTTTTTTCTCCTTTTAAAAAAATAAAGAAAAATTCATAAACGAATAAAAATATTTTTTAAAAAAACAAACTTTTTTTAAGCAATATTTCATTAAAAATCCAAACTATGAATTGTCTCAAAATGGATAGTTAAAATCAAATGCTAAAATTTGAAATAAAAAAAGTAAAGCATTCCTGCAAGGACCCATTGTGAGCAATGGAGATTAAAGCTCCATTATATCATGACTAAAATAGCCATAGTAGTTAAAATAAGTAAAATACTGAAAAACCTACATTAGTTGGCATCCTCGATTATAGAATATAATATGATCACAAATATATCCTACTTATAGTTTTAATTATGAGAGACATATAAGTTAAATGACTTAAGTTCACAATATTTATTCTATTTAATGCAGCAAAGTGCAGCGGTTTTAGGCACTACTTTCGAAATCTTGAACAGTCAAAGCTTTTCCTTCATAGAAACCTTACAATCCTATTCAGAAAGTAATTAAAGAAATATATATAATTTTTCACTTATATTAATAATATACTAACAAAATAATTAGTAATAGTCTTTGTAATTTTTAGTTTGGAATAGAATAACTAGTTAATGGCATTTAAATATTGATTGACAATAAAAAAAATTCTGAAAAATATAAAATCAGTGAAACTATATATATTGTTCAATCTTCGTAGATATTAAAAGTTTTAAGTGAATTGCGAATTATGTCAATAAAAGATAAAGATCATTTTTCTTGAGAATTTTCCTTTATAACAAACTATTGTCAAAATTACACTTATAATAGAGATAAATTTGTTGATTCTTAAGTCTGATAACATGCTCAAATGTTATAACAATAAGTTGACCTTCAACAATTTAAAATCAAATTCATAAGATCATATATATAAAAATTGAAAGTTTGGAAAAAAAGTATTTGTAACAGTAGTATTAATTTTAAAAAGTGACTTATTGCTTTTTTCTCTCCAAAGGTAAACATAAATTTTTAAATTATTATACACATTATTATGATAACTATGACACATTATTTTTTTGGTATTTGTGCATAAACAATTTATGGAATACTATCAACACTGTATTGTACATGGTTTATGTTATTTGGAAAGCTCTTTAATACCATACATACACAGAAAGATTGAAGAAGGAACAATTCACAAGAAAAGAATTCCAACAAAATTGTGCAACAGTTATGAAAATTCAGATATATTGGTCAAAAGACAACTAAAATTTTAAATGTTACAAGTGTGTTTACACATTTTCAAACCAGCCAACTACCAAATAATATTGGTAAGTAATTTTTGTGGAATTAAAATGTCCCTTTTGTTCGAAAGTATTTTTTAATATAAAACTTGTTATATAATTTTAAAAATAACATCAAATGTTTATAATTTGAGGCAGTCATTATACTGAAGAAACAATTTTTTTTTTAAATAAAAGAATGACAGAGCTACTTTTTTTATTTTTATAAATGTAGCTGGTGACAAAACTAAAGAAAACATTGATAATTTATCAAAAAAAAAAAAAAAAAAAAAAAAAATATCTTGGCTGATAAAAACAGCAATTGATAATGAAATATATCAAAAGTATTATTAGTTTTATTTGAAAATAATAAAACGTCAATAAAAATAAATAAAAAACAATCTCTTTATAATTTTGAAGAAAAAATATTTTGCTCATAAAATACAGATCATTAAAATTTGTTTTTAAAAACAAAACTATCTAAATAGTTTTGTAGACATACAAAAAAAATATAATCGATTTTTTAATTGCGAAAAAATAAAAGTAATCTCCAGTTATCAATTTTGTAAGAGAGTTGGCAAGAATGTATGTATTTGCTATAAAAATGAGAAGAATTAAAAATTATTTGTTGATACAGATGAAACACAGAGCTACAAACATTTTGTAATCAAAAGCGTAATTAGAATAAAAACAGCATATATGTCAAAAGGTTATTGAAAGGCTTCTACATCCCACAATTCAATGGCCACGTTTCCTGTTCAGTAATTTATTAGAATTGATCCGCAAAGGCACAGCTCGTCTAAGACAGGCAATGCATTTTGTTATAATATAGAGGGCACTTTCCACAAGTGAGCTCAGCCACACTATGAAGAATTATGGGATGCATTGAAAATGTGCTCTCTCCTGGTCAATGTGAAGACTGAGGATCGCATTGTAGTAGCCTTACAATAGATGGATCACTCTTGGCACCTTCTATGAATTCATCGAGAGAAAGTTTCCCATCCATGTTTTTGTCCATTTGCCTGAATATTTTGTCTGTTCTCTTTTCTGGAGTAGATTCATCTTCTGGCATTTTCATGACAGAACCAACCATTTTGTAAATAGCCTGGGAAGAAAAATTACAGTTTCTTTTATTCTAAACAACTAAAAACAAAAAATATATACTCGAGTGCAAAATTAATCCTACTTTCAGGTAAAACTGCATAAAAACTAAAATTAAAGGGTTTACTAGAATCAGATTAATAAAAATTAAAAAATTGTGATTGCTTTATTACGATCACTGGTCAAATGCTTTTTTTCCTCTCCAGTTTGACTCTGATAAACGCCACAATATTTCAAAACGTGGGTTGCAAAAACTGTCTCATTTGATGTTTGTCGTCAGATTGGTCTTCAAATCCTGGCTATATACGTGTTTCAAGACGTCACAAAATACTTTTCTTCCTCAATATTCATATTTATATTAAAATCACCGTCAAGACAGTAATTATAAGTTAATAAGAAGAAGAATATAAAAATACTTCAAATTATTATTATGTAAATACATTAATAATGACTGCTGGTGAATATAAAAAGAATTCTTAAAAAATTATCAAACAGCAACGGTGGCCATAGCAATGCATACAATGAGGACGTATGCACACTGTTTACTATTACTCCTGAACACAGTTGAAAAGCGTGCTATGTCCAAATAAGGTGTGCACGCCATCAAATCCAAAACAACACCCATTTTGCCAATGGGTAATAATATATTTAAATATTTAAAAAAAAAATTTTTTTTGTCGTATGCCTGTTTAGGCAGTGGGGGTGCTATTGTTCCTGTTTATCAGTGGCGCCATCTATGGCCAGGAATTAAACTTCTGCCACGCCATTCACACAACTCATTTATAGGGCGGGTCACATTCACACACAAAGGAGAAAGGACATAGAACACAGGGAGAGAGAGAAAGAAACATCCATGCCTTGCCTGGGATTCGAACCCAGGACTTTTCTGATGCAAGGACAGTTCCCTGCCCCTTACACAGGCCGGTCGGCAAATATTTTAATTACCTTGTTTTAAACCAAGGAAAATATAAAATTGCTTCAATGTTTAAGTTACAGTTGGGCTTCTTATTTTAGATGAAATGCAGTCATATTTAAAAATGTGAAGTTTAATTTTACAATTAAATTAGACTATATGCCTATTTTTTTAAACATTTCATAAAATAATGTGCAATATTATGTCAGCACATTTGACATTAGAAACTTTATTTGTTAAACTAGTAAAAGAATATCAATTCTAAGATAAAAACAAATTTTTTTATAAAACAATAAAATATCAATTGAAAAATTACGCAATTATTAAAAATCCATATTTAATAGTGTTAAAATTTAAATTTAATTCCTAGAAAAGATATTTTTATATTAGCTTGACTTTGAATTGTGTTTTGATTTTGAAGGTGCTGACATAATTTTTAAAAACAGTAAAATAAACTTTTTTAAATTAAATAAAATATTTGAACAAAGATATGAAATCCAACTATACATTTACATAATATAAAAAAATTGACCAGCTGACATTATACATTCTCTTAATAGCATAAAGTTGTAAAATATCTAAATTTTGGTAGGCTTATGCAGTGTCGATGTTAGATTCCTTTTAAACTATTAGCTTCTTTTTATTTTAATAAAAAAAAAAATTAAATCCAAATATTTTTTCTCAACCAACAAAAAAATAATTTAAAAATTGCATAAGAAATTAGTATCTATCTAATATGCAAAGTGTTTTCACAGCAAAAAAAATCATAATAAATTTGAAGGGCTTAAGGCTTTATGCTCGACGATGATCCACATTTTAAAATTCATTTTGGAAAAACGTGGCCTATCACTATATTATCCCAGAACTTTAAACTATTTTTCTCTGTATTAAATAAAAGACGATGTTAAAATCATGGGCCTCGGTAGGGACATGGGGGAGGTTAGTAGGTATGAATTCCCTCAATTTCAATATCAAACAAATAAAGAAAATTTTCATGAATCATTATTAATTTATCAAAGTCAAAAACAAAGTGATAAAAATAATCTATCTCTTTGTACTTATTTAGCAGATATAAGAGTGCTTTTTTCTTCTTGTGTTAGAGAACTATTATAACTGTATATTTGAATTTTGTCCCTCACCCACAAAAAATTAAACCCTTACAACAACCATTGGTAGAAATTACTTTTGCTTTTCATTAAATTATTCCATGGCAAATAATAATAATGAAAACGTTCTTGCTTTTAATTAAAAAAATAACTAATTTGTTCAAACTGGTGATCGAAATATATTGATAACTGTATGGCAACAAAAAGGTATTGGAGTGAAAGTAACATGGAGTGAAAAGGTATTCTATAAAACCTTATAAATCTCATATATTTCCTAAAAGAGTAATTTTTTAAAATAGTGTCATACACTTTCAACTTCAGACTTATTGTTTTAAAATGGCAGTTAAAATATCAAGTTTTAGATGAACATTGATTGTATTTAATCATTACATTGGGCAACTAAGATTCGCACTCTGAAAATTATATTCTTTTGGTTATTCAGATATTTTAAATTGTGATACCACTAAAAGCACTCTATTCTCTTATTTAAAGCTGTAAAAGGGTACAAGCTTTAACAGCCTGTTTTTATTCTGATTAATGCTTAGAGGGCTACCAAATTTGATGATCCACACATTTTTGTAGTACTAATAATTCAAGATTAAGTTTACCATAATAGCAGTCATGAGTTGTTTTCAATTAACTATGTAACCGAAGATGCATTGTAAAATCATACAGTTAATTCACCACAGATGAATATCACTTTGTAAATTAGCATAAAATTATTATAAATACAAAAAGTCAGTAATCTTACAATTTGATAAGGGGGCAACAATAAATGATGTCACAAACGAGTGGAGGTTCTTAAAATTGTGAGAAACATTCAAATTACTACACATCTAATCAATACTATTGTTGTGCTCACAAACATCATTTAAAAATAAATTTTGAAATATGATCGATAACATGTGTTTTGGAACTATCTTTCTTCTATAACTCTATAGCCAGTTGCAGGTCTAGCCTGTCTCTAAAAGTTTTTTTTCTCCATTGGGAAGTATAAAGAGTTCTGCAAGGTTTGATTTAATTTTTGAGTAGCATTTTCTCAACTGTATAAAGCCATTTGATATTTTGTCTATCTTTTTTCCTTTTTCAAGCATACATTTGTATAACGGGGGTGATTGTGAGCCCAACTCAAAAATGTTAAAAATTTCTTGAGTAAAAATCATTAATGGCACATTTCAAAAAATTAATGTCTTTATAAATTTAAATCATTGATATTTTTACAACATGAAATTCTAGATGAATTATATGTAGCATAATTTAAATTAATAATTATACATAAGCTTACTTTTATCTCTAATCACATTTATTATTCTACCAAATAAAATATTTACAAATGAAAGAGATGCCAAGTATAAATTCTAGTTCTAATATTTTTAAGTAAAATATACAAGAATTTTCATACATAAATGTGATTGATGATTTTTTTAAAACTTCTGGACCTTGGATTTCCGAAAAAATTTCCGGTTCGTAATTAGCGAAAAATCTTGAAATTCAGATTTTTTCCGGAGCACAATCATTTCTGGTATAATATAGTGTGACACTTTGTGACAAAGGGGAGAAGAAAGGTAAAAAGTGACATCTTTAATGAACTGCCCCCTAATATCATATCATACAAGCAATTATAAATGATAAAGAAGAAAACTTACAGTTACTATTTCTAACATTTCTTGGCGTGATATATATCCATTTCCATCAAGGTCATACATACTGAATGCCCATTTTAATTTCTGTTCTAACTTTCCCCTAGAAGTGACACTTAAAGCACATAAAAATTCTCTAAAGTCAATAGTCCCATCACCGTTCGCATCAAAAGTGCGAAAAACATGCTCTGCAAACTTAGATGCATCACCATACGGAAAAAAGTTCCCATAAATTTTTTTGAACTCCTCAATCGAAAGATGGCCACTAGGACAGTCTTTCAAGAAGCCTTTGTACCATTCCTGTATTTCGGCATCTGTGAATTCTGTGTTCTGGCGAAGGTCTTCAAGAACTTCTGGCTTGAGCTTACTATTTTGCTTTCCCATAATATGCACTTATTGTAATAGTTTATAAAACAGAGGTGTTCATTCTATGTTGTATTTATTTAAATACATCCTAGAAAAGCAATGCAATAATTACACATATTGAAGAAATAAAATTGGTGAAAGAATATTTATTAAAACTTCTTAAAAACACCATGCACAAAAACAAACAAACAAAAAAAAAAAGGCTACACATTTAAGGAAGCCTCCCTTTATCAGGCAGTCAGTATATCAAACTGCTGAATTAGAGATAAAACGTAAAAAATGTATTTTTCCGTGCTTAAAAAATTTATTATACCAAAATCACATTTATTAGTTAAAATGTCTGAACAGCTATAGTAAGGCAGGAAAAAAAAAAAAAACCTGGGAGACAGGTTGGTTTTTCACATTTATTAGTAAAATTGTCTGAACAGCTATAGCTATAGTAAGGCAGAAGGGGAAAAGAAAAAAAAAGAAAAAAACCCACCTGGAAGACAGGATACAGTAGAAAAATGTAACTGTAAGTCAGTCGGAGTATATACTTTTTATTTTCGATAACAAATTAAATTTCAGAATTTTCAGGATTGTTAAATTCTTTTATTTAATTATTTATAAAAATAAGAATGGAACACAATTATGAGAAATAAAACATAATTTGCCTTTCACAACCAGTTTTTATTATTAAAAAAAAAAAACTAAATAAGGGTTTAAAACATTCAAGAAAAAGAGTAAATAAATATATTTCTTCAGTTTTTCTTTAAAAAAAAAGTTAATTATTGATTATTTATAAATAAATAATGTATTTTTTATTTTGAGTATAGGAAATGTTTTTGGAATGTCAGTTTTTTAGTAAAAGTAGAATTTTACAAATTCATAAAATAGGACAATTTATAATGGAAAAGCATAGTTTAATGATATTTCTCTACGAATTCCCAATTTAATTTTTTGCAATTTCCCTTATAAAAAAGGAAAAACAACAATTTAGCATTTGTAGAAACATTTTAAATTATTACTGTACACTTAATTTATTCCCAAATTTTAATATTGATGATTCTTTTTGTTGATATTTATAAGTACAGAGTTTAAATCATTTGATTAAAATCGCGATTTGAGAAAAAAAAAAATCAGATTTATATCGAAAAGTCACTAAGTAGGGCAACTAATTTTTCCTCGAATATCACGGAAGTCTGCGTATCTCAAGACAATTTATTTGCGGACCGCTTTTGCGCATTTTTGAAACCAATATTGCGTTTTAAAACCAGAATCGTGATGCTAATCTAAAAATCATGCAACGCATTTAGTATTAATGAGATTTTAAAATCCAATATAGCGATTTGTAGTCACACGATTTTAAAATCCAAAGTTCATTGGTAGGTTATTTAATTTTAAATCTTAGCTCAAAAATTATGTTAAACATAAAAAAGCATGTTATATAAAGATATCTTAATATCAAATTTTTGCACACAAAATTTACAGCGTTTTTCACTTAGTGTCAGAATTACCCCAGTGGGATGTTCAAAATAAAATAATAGAGAAAAAAGTGACTACTTGCAGATAAAAGTGAGGTGAAACTTATATATTATAATTTTCTATCAACTACATTACATGTAAAATAATTTATTGTTAAATAAAAATATTTCAATTTTACCCATTTCGTTTTAAAACTTACTCAAGTACTTTTAAAACTAATTAAATATGCATTGTGTACATAAATAAAGACTTCTTCTGATAAGAGTAATATAGACTATTTACTATACAGAATATATCATATGATTTTGTTCAGTGATTACTTGATTAGTTTATAATGATTAAATAATAATGTAAACCATTTTAAGAGAGCATTCAGTTAAAATACTATTTTTAATTAATATTAAGCATTATTAATGAATTTATTAGAGATTTCATAGGTAAAACGTAAATGTAAAAATTAAATTTAAAATAAATATGATTTAAGTAAATAGAAATTCAATTTAAATAAAAATTAATAAAAAAAACATTTTTTTCTAATTAAAAAAGACTGACTTTTACAAACCCTGAAAAGCAATCAAAAATTACATTTTTCATCTTGGGAAGTGGGTAATTATCCTGGTTTTGCCCATAGGGAAAATTATAAATATTAAATTAATAAAATTCAATCTAAGTATGAATAAAATCATAATAATTAAATCTACAAGATAAAGTAATTAAACTGACAAAATAAAATAAAAATGCAAAGTTGATACTAACACCGAAATAAATAATACAGGGGAACAACTGGTAATACTTTAATTTAGAATACTTTAAAAATTTAGAAGAAGAATCAAATCATTTTTTGTTAAGCACAAGAAAACAATTTTAAACAAAAATCAAATTGATGAAAATGTAAGAAATAAAGTGAAAGTTCTTTTTAGATTAAAGAATGGAATTATACAAACCAAATAACCAATAACTCTTTTTTTGTCCCTCACTATGAATGTTCACCACATTCGTAGTATCTACATAAAAAAATAAATAAAATTATATTCAAGTAAATTAAATTCAAGGAAGAACCAATAAAATAACTAAAATTACATTCAAGTAAATTAATTTCAAGAAAGAATAAAAAACAATTCAAGCATATATTTATATTACATGATGATGTTATGAGAGAATTTGTTTTATTATTATTATGATTGATATCATTATCTTAAATAAAGTTTTAACAATGCTCATGCATATCAGTAATGTGTATCATAAATAAGGAAGGAATGATTTGCACTGAATAACTTTTGATTTGATGATTAGATTTTTCTGTGAATCTTAATAATTGGATTTTGATGCAAGGATTGCTTCATAATCTCAGGTGCAGGGTTGGTAAGTTTTGGATACATATCAACATTGCAACCAAGAAGAAAATCGTCACGTCAAAAATTTAAGGAAAAAAAATATAATTTATGAACCACTTTATATATATAATATATATGGCAAGTGTGGTTAATTTACTTTAATTTTGCTTAAATTTTTAAGACATGTGTTTTACGTAAAACGATTGTACACATGGTTTTATATTTTTGCGAAAATTGTTTTCAAAGTGGATCACATTTGAAGGTCTTCTGGAATTGTGAGTAAAACATATTTATTTACAATCGGCAATACTTTTTGTGAACTGAGTGAATCACAACACTGACCATTATATTGTGTTTTTACTGACCATTATATTGTTATTCTACTTTAAAACTAACAATTAAGAGAAATACTTTCAGTGGTCAAAGGTTATTCAAAAATCTTCGAAAAAAAGGCTATTTTCTTAGATTTGAATACTAAAAACTACTTCTGCCAACAGTGAACTAAAAAGGTACATTAAATAAATGTTCCCAAGAAACTATAGCGATAAGATATTACCCCCATTAAAAGCTTCACACGCTTCAAAAATACATAAAAAGTAAACATCAGTCGATAGGTTTGAAGTGTTTCAAAATTAGGCGCTCATTTTCAAGACTTGCCAGATGTGAACGAGAGTAGGTATATCTACTGTGAATACATATAAATGAGTAATACCAAAAAAAATCAACATATGTGTACTATTTATTTCTCACATATATTTGGCATGACCTTAAAATTGACCTTTAGTAGCATGAAGCTTAAAATGTGCACAATTTTCAGGATCTGCTTTCGTCAAAACTTAGTTCAACTTTAACACGCCATAGGTCACATGTGTGGATATCCGTGATCTTTTTGAAGTGCAAGTGCCCAATTGATTTGACTAATTTTTTTTAAAGAATTCTACAGTTAAAACAAATTAAACTACTTACAACTTTAACATGAGCACAGAATTTATAACAAAATTGCAGCAAGTCGAATTTTTTAAATAACTAACAGTTGTAAAAACAAGGCTCACGAGAGATCCTTAACATGAATGATTAATACGATTTGTTTCACCGGTTGCCATGGAAACAAAGCGACGACCTTGTGAAGATGCCATCACATAGACTCTTTCACTTTTAGAAGTAGAAAGTTTTTGTAGGTGAAGGTTAATAATCAGTCAGGGAAAGGCATTGTTTAATGATTCATAAATTGTAACCCATGATCATGTCATAGCATTTCAAATTAAAGCAGATGATACTTTTTTTGAAGTAATGCCAGATATCTTACTCTTTATTAATTATTTAACACAACGATTAAATCTTGTGCTTTATGACTAGACAATACACTGATTTTTTTTAAAAAAAAATTTCAATTAGAAAATACTTCGGAGTTATAATTAACAATGGTTAAAGTGATATCTTTTTAATAGCGAAGAATAGCATGAAAAAGCTCATTATCTCCATCAGAAATTGATAGGAAGCCAAAACACGGTGAAATACGTCAAATGTAATCGTTATAATAAAAATGTTAATTATAAAAACTTTTATGTCAAGTTCTTTTCTTTCGCCTGAAGTAATGAAAAGGAGGGTAAGAAAAAAGAAGTTTTTTCATTCGCTCTTTTAGAACATATTTTGTTTTAACAATTCATATTGAAAAAAGTATATTTAACTTAAGATTATTCAGAATATATTTTAAAGTTTTTTTTTTTTTTTTAACACTAGAAAGACTGAAACCTAGTAATATACCTATATTGCCCAAACGCAGTCAAAATTACTGGATTGTAAGAGAATAAATAATGTGTAAAAAAAAAAATTTTAAATTATTTTTTAATATTTTTTATATTATTTACAGTTATATAACAAGTTATTAGTAAATATTAACAATAAAAAAATTATATGTTGTACAAAATTCTAAGAAATTGAGTCATTATATACATCATTGTTTTTCTAATTGAAATTAAAAGCAGTCAAAATGACTTCCTTAGGCAATCTAGTGTTAAACACCAAAAAAACTTTTATTTATTATTAATAACAAAAACTCAAATGAAATAAAAGCATCAGCAACATTAAACACCATTATATTGGGCTTACAAGGCAGCTACACTATTTAGGAAAATAAAAGTAAATATTTCAAATTTTCTGACAAGATTAATAAAGGTTAGCTTATAATATTTATGGATATAGTTCATAATTCGTTACATTTCGGTTTATTTTTGGTATTTTACATTTAATATAATGTATTTTTTTTATACATATTTTTAATTTACATTTTTTAAATTTACATTTAAGAATAATACATGTTAACGCTAAATACTACTTTGTCCATTTTTGGTATACAATTTATAATTGTGAGTTAAAAAATACAATGAAAAACTAACGTTCAACACCTGTTTTTCATTTAATGCATAAAAGATTGCATCTTTTAATAGTAATAGCGCTATTAGACTACCTTTAGGCTGAAATGAAAAGCATTGAAAAATATAGGGAAATGTTACATTCATTATTTTTATAAGGAGTATTCTGAAATAATGTCTTAAAATTTGGTCTAGTTGATTCTGAAAATCTTCAATTCATGGAAACGTTGGTTAAAAAAGGAATAGTGTTGTTTTTTTCCTCACCCACTTCAAAATATTATTCGAAAAAAAAAAAAAAAAAAAAAAAAAAAAAAAAAAAAAANAAAAAAAAAAAAAAAAATATCCAATATAAGCGGATTCTGCCAATTAGGGGTCTGTTTAAAAGAAATTTTAGTCCGTTAACGGACCCTTCACAAAATATCTTTTCATAAAAAGGGACCCTTCACAAAATATTTTAACTTAAAAACGGACCCATCGCAAAATAATTTATCTTTTAATCGGACCCTTCACAAATTTGTTTATCTTCATTATTGTTTTGTTAATCGAATAAACCCTTCCCAGGAAGGGTTAGGGAAGGGATGAAAGACAAATGTAAACGTCTTATTGTCTTCGGCAGAGGCTTCTTCCTTTATTCGTCCGAAATGAATATTCTACTGCAGCTGTATAGGCTAAATACCAAATATTTGTATGTTGCATCTCTAATTTAGTAGCAACAATTACTGTTTATTTTTTAAAATTTAATTTTTTCAAATTATAATTTTACCTTGTTGAGCATAATCTTGTATGCCTTTACAATTTAAAAACTCTTTGAAAAAGTTCCTTTTCCAATAACAGGACCCTATTTGCACAAATTCACAAAAGCAGGACTCTGGTTGAAAGAATGTGACTTAACGTTTATTTTATATATCTCAAGCTATATAGAGTAATTTTTTCACAATTTTACAAAAACGGACCTTTCACAAAATATTTGGACATACCCCTGAAGATTAACCGTTTGAGTCCCGGGGGAATTGAAAAACCACTGTGGAAGAATATGTCGATGCGTCCCAATCGGAGCAATAGCGCTTCTTGTATTTGTTAGGTAAGGCGTCTCTTTCTCATCGCTCCATCACATTTATTGCAGTTTGCAAAGCGATCGAACGTAGTCTTGCGTAAGCGTTTCTCATTGATAATAATTATGTGTTTCAAAATGATTAGACGAAGCAACACAAAAAGTAAGTAAAAAAATTAATCTAGATTTACTGTTTAACTTTTTTAAATTTGGTGTATCCCCAAAAAAAGTGGAATGAATCAAAAGGAAAATCTATGAGCATAATTACAAACCCATATGATCATATTATTGACGACTACATTGTTCCTGTAAAGTGCAAAAGACACTCATTTCGAGTATTTCAGTGAATAGTGATAGTGCTAGCAGTGAAATTTTTATTTTGTAATGTATTATTGCATTGTTATAGTATTATTCTACCTATTGTAAAATCTACTATTTACATTAAAACGAGTTGTGTGGTGCACTTGCTTCAGTAAATCTGAGTGTGCGACTTCAACAATTGGCAACTTACCGTCAGTTGTCCACAATGCTCGAAATGTACTTCTTTTTTTTTTATACATAAAATCTCAACGGGGTGACCACACTGCTTGGGACTCAAACAGTTAAAGATCACATTAATTGTGTTAATTTTAATATAAATGTTAATTTTTTCAGATTGATATCTTAGTTAATAATGCTGGGATTTCTTCAAGTGCTGGTTATGCTGATATTGACATCAAAGTTGACATGAATTTGTTTAATGTCAATGTATTTGGAACTGTCAATCTCACAAGAAAGGTTCTCAAGCACTTTTTGGAGCAAAAGAAAGGACATGTAGTATACACTAGTAGTATGGCTGGTAAAATTGGTATGATAATAATTGTTTTCTATGTCTAGTGATTTATTACTTGATTTGTACTAAATATCTATAAAAATAATTTAAAGAACATTAATTTTATGTGCATATATGTTAAAATTTTTACAAGCAGTATTGTAGATTTTTTTAAATAAGTGAAGTTTAAAATGTTTCGTNTGTGGGAACATGGAGGACTTTGAGACTCGACAGATTTACCGTGCATCAGTCACCATTTACTACACGGGGAGTCTTCGGCCGGCGAGGATCGAACCCATGACCTCTTGGATATGGGCCCAGCGCCCTACCGACCAGGCTATCCCGGCCCCTCTATTCTACCTATTGTAAAATGTACTATTTACATTAAAAGGAGCCGTGCGATGTACTTGCTTCAGTAAATCTGACCGAGCGACTT